AGAATGAATTGATTGGTTTTAATGGTGACTTTCCGTTTTAGGCTTCTGAGATCAGAGTGAATTGATTGTTTTTAATGGTGACTTTCCGTTTTAGGCTTCTGAGATCAGAGTGAAACCGTTTTTCTTAAAGATTCATTCTTTTTTCAGAATTTTGAGATCAAAGTAAACGTGCTGTTCTTAACGGTTACTTTCTTTTTGAGCTTTTGACATTAAAATGCACCTAATGATTTTCCATTTTTAGGCCTCTGAGATCAGAGTGAACCCATTGTTCCTGATGATTCCTGTCACCATCGCTTGTTCATTTGCCTTCATGTTACCAGTGTCAAATCCTCCCAATGCTATCGTGTTCGATAGTGCTGGTATGAAGACAATAGATATGGTGAGCTGTTTGCTAGTATACTTGAAAAAGTAATTATATTTACGAAAAACACATACGTCGTTTTGAATTTTCCGAGTAATATATATATCAGATACGTATCAAGTAATGTCTCTGTAAATGAAGCTGTTTTATTATAGAAATAGATGTCTTCACTTTATTTCCCTTCCTTATTAATCATCTGTACATGTAATCACCAGGTTAAGCCAGGCATCTTCCTCAACATCATCATGTGTGGAGTTAACTTGATGATGATCAACACACTAGGTGTTGCTCTCTTCAACCTACATACATTTCCTGTTTGGGCTGAACTAACACCGGATAACACCACAACGGCTCTTGACTGACATTAACAACCTGGAAGCCGTGGCAACGTGCATTTGTTAGACTAGTAGTTTCTTTGGTTACATTGTGTTTACGAATTTTTATCGACGTGACTTATGGTTACCACGTGGTTTCCTTGGTTACGATGTGTTTACGAATATTTATCGACGTGACTTATGGTTGCCACGTGGTTTCCTTGGTTACGATGTGTTTACGAATATTTATCGACGTGACTTATGGTTACCACGTGGTTTCCTTGGTTACATTGTGTTTACGAAGAGCTACACTTGAACTTGCACTTCAAAATCTTACTGCGGTTTTTGTGTGCACCAAAGTAGGCTGGTATCTTTCTCACTTTTATCTTTTGATTTAACTTTATTATTTAGAATTTCTGTGATATTTGACTTTTACTGGATAATGTGTTAAACAAAGTTAGGTTGAATTGTGTAATTGTCGACACATTTTTTAAGTACTACTGTAAAACTTGGACAGCTGACTAAACGTAAATTTAAACTTGTTCAACAAGTAGATCCAGTCTTGTGTACTAACATTGTAATGGTCAGTTTCTCTCCATAATACACTGACCACTAGCAATACTTTAATGTTCGACTTAAATTGTTCAAATGTAAACTTGTAGCATAAAAAAAAGTAAAAATTAAGTTATGTAGATATATATATTTTTATCTTCCAAAGGTTTTTCTTCTGTTTTTAAAATTGTTTTTCTACAATAATTTTTTGAATTTTCATTTTGATTTAACATTGATCGACAAATGAGGTTATTATAATGCAATTTTATGTGAAATAAAAATTATTACAATGTCCATCTTACCTCTTAGTATTTTATGATGTGGAACGTGCGTCTATATGCCCGTCACACCAAACATGCTAACCTCCTCCTTTGCCTGGCCCCAAGTTCAGGATGAGAAAGGAGGAGGGTTGGGCGCGATCTAGCAACTCCACCCCGTAAAAACCAACCTGCTACAACTAACTGCAACAACACCTTCTGTTGGCGAGGTGTTGTTGCGGCCCCATGCTCCACCGGGAGTTTATAGGAATAAATAAAAAAACAACAAAAAAAAACGTATGTCTATATACTGTTGTAATTCGGGAACATGTAGTTCTCAGCTGATCATGTATGGGATAAGTTCGTATATAGACATACGTTCTACATCATTACAAAGTGATTAAACCTTCACCCAATGATCAGCTGAGAACTACATGTTCCCGAATTACATCAGTGATCTTATCCCATACTATATAGACATACGTTCTACATCATTACAAAGTGATTAAACCTTCACCCACTAGTGTGGCACGGAGAGCAATAATATGAGAAAGTGAAGCAACATTCATTGGAACGGAAGTGATAATGGGGAAGTAAAGCAAATTCAATAGACCGAAAGTGATAAAATGGAGTAAAGCAACATTCATTGGAACGGAAATGAGGAAGTAAAGTAACATTTACTGGGAAAGAGGTGAAATATAAGGAAGTCAAACAACATTCATTGAACATGAGGTGATAACACGAGGAGGAATGCTGTTGTTATTCCTAGGATTCAATATGTTTTGTTTCACAGTTGAAAGCACACGCCTCTGTTTTTTTATCCTCCAGATGATTATCCAAGTGCTGAAAATACTGTGATATTATAAAATGGTTTTATATTGAATAGATCAACATATAGAAACTCACAGAGCATTTCTAGGAAGTAGAGACAGCCAGTTTTATTCTATATTGCGGATATAGTTTTTGGCTAGGCCAGGTATTACACAAATTAGTTTAGAAATGGAAAATGTCCAAGATTTCTGAACTAAGCAAGACTCGGCAAGTTTATTGTATTGCAAAGACAAAAAAAAAACCATTCTCTGCGACTTTTTTTTTTTTCATCACCGAATGGCTTGCATTAACCGAATTTCTCTGAAACCGCTGCAAGCTCTATCTCTAATCAGTTTCCGCTTCTCTAGATCCTCAATATGTTGCTAGTATTTGTCACCAAACAGCCTTTGTAGACAGAGGAATATTGTGAAATTACACATGTACTGAGAAATGATGCTTCAAGTGTCAAATATTATATGTGCAATTGGAGAAACGTCTTCGTTTATTCTTTGGGTCCTACAGTCTGTTTCGTATTATCTTGACTCGATGAAGAAAAACCAAAGAAAGCTTGGCACTCTTGCAAAAGTGCGAAGATTATCGATTAGACGAGTGTTGTTGAGTGAGGTTTTTGAATCTTTCTTAGTTTATTTGAAACTTCACATGTGGCTGCAGTATTTCACTACGACATTTAAGGAAACTTTCATTGTCTCTTTGCTTATTTTTATCTCATTTTGTATGTGTTTGATGCTGTATCTTCGCTACATTCAGCTGATCTACGCCTCCCCTTTGTAACTCTGATCAGCCGATCTCTACTTCACCTTTGTGCCTCTTATCAGTTGATCTCTGCCACATTTTTGTAATTCTTATCAGCTGATTTCTACCTTATCGTTGTAACTGATCAGCTGATCCCAACTTCATCTTTGTAACTACAATCAGCTGGTATTTATCTTGTCTTTCTATTCAGATTATTTCTATTTAATTTTTGTAACTCTGTTGAACTTATTCTAGCCTCATCTTTCAAACCTGATCAGCAGATGTAAAAGTGATTTTCACCTCGTTTCTATATCTATCATGAGCTGATATTTGTCTCTTATTTGAATCTTTGTTCACTTAACTTTATCTTATTTCTATGTCACTCTTTATCTAAAGAGTGCCTCCAGTGGAACAGCGGAATGTCTACGGACTTATACTGCGAGAAACCAGGTTTCTGGTAGGCAGAGCACAGATAACCCTTCATGTAGCTTTGTTCTTAATAATAAACAACAAGGACTTTTATCTACTTCGTTTCAATCTCCATGTTCAACTGATCTTACCACATTTTTACGTCTTTATTCAGCTGTTCCTTACCCTATTTTTATATCTTTTTGCTCAGCTGTTTCTTACCCTATTTTTATATCTTTTTGCTCAGCTGATCTTATGTTATATTTACATATCTTTGTTCAACTGATCCTTACCTTATCATTATAACTCTTTGTTTAGCTGATCATCCGTTATCTTTACGTCTCTTTTCAGCTGATCTTATGTTATATTTACATG